GCAGTTAAAGATACTTAAGGTTTTGTAAAGACTTGTCCAGTAATTAAAGAGTACATAAGTGTGTGTACATCTTTATTTTTTCAGATTAACACCTGGATTTGCTGATAAAACCAAATGATGTTTCCTTTTGGTTGAGGACAAAATAATCTGTTATTATAATTTGTTTTTCTTTTTAACTGCACCAATGCTGCCATCTGCTGTTCCTGTAACATGACGTCATCCACGTTTGCCTTGAAGAGTGGACTTTTATTAAGGGAAATGCAAAAGTCTGGGAAAACTGAGTCTCAAAAGCAGGACGTTCTGCTCACGTTTTCCCCGAAACGAGTCCTAAAGCTCCAAAAACTCAGATACATTTGTATACTTTTTTTTTTTAAAATTGGGACAAATAACTTTAAAATCCAACATATGAGCAAAATAAATGTAAGCACAGGGTTTTGGACCTTTCATGGCCCAAACCTGCCGTGAATCTGTATTTCAATCTGTATCTGGATTTCATATTTGTTCAACAACTTCAAAAAATGAAAAAGGCACCTAATTTCCTTTTTTTATGGACTCAATAAAGGCAGAATTTGGAGGCTCACTAATGCATTAATAATTAAACAGCGTCTGTATCAAATCCTCATGTGCCTCAATGAGTAACTATTTAATTTGTTAAATGATCTTTTATAATTACAAGTCTGCCAAAAGTAGGTTTTGGGGCTCTTTGACCAGCAGAGGGCGACACTGCACCATTTTTTTTGCCTCTGTTCTGAAACCTGTTCAGCAAAAGGTCACGAGTTCAGCCTGAAATGATCTGGGCCTTCGGGTTCTGTGCATGTACGTGTGTTTATATCCCGTGAGCCATCAGGAACTTTGTGGGGAACCAAAGGCGGACTGGATCCGGATTTAAATCTCCATCTGTGATGTTCTTTTTAAAGATTGGAGCTCCCCTCCTCCATCTCAATCTGGAACAGGCCCCTTAACACATTGGCACAGCAGAAATATTTAGACTGTAAAGTCACCTGTGGTCAGTCTTTAAAGGAGCGACCGTATCTTTATACTCTGAATGACTTTTATGGGTCCGGTTTTCATTCCTTAAACTGAGAGCTCAATTCAATTCAATTCAATTCAATTCACTTTTATTTATATAGCGCCACATCACAACAACAGTTGTCTCACAGCGCTTTCCAAACAGAGCAGGTCAGACCCTACTCTGAAGTTAACTACAGAAACCCAACAATTCCCACCATGAGCAAGCACTAGGCGACACAGGCAAGGAAAAACTTCCTTTTAACAGGCAGAAACCTTGAGCAGAACCATGGCTCAGGGTGGGCGGCCATCTGCCTCGGCCGGTTTGGGCAAGAGAGAGAGAGAGAGAGAGAAGGACAGAGGACACAGCAACACGTAAACTAGATGAAAAATGGCAATGATATTAATGCTAATGATGATGGTAGAAGTTATAACGGCAACAGAGCAGGAACACTGAGCCGAGTTATGTGTGCGCTTCAGAAAATGGCGCCTGTGTCTGAAACACCGGAGGCCATTTCTAACCCACGTGGACGAGTCATTTCATTTTCTCCAACAGCAGCCCATCAGAGCTAAGGACACTTATGGCCACGGGCTCTGGCTCCCGTGGGGGCCGGTTGCTTTCACTCCTTTCAGGATTTAGCCCTTTTTCCCCATCCCCCACACGTGCTGTCCAGGCCCGGGTCTCCACCCACTGCCCGCACCGTGCTCTGGACCGGAGATGTTTGTGCAGCAAACATGAGACATGCTTACTTACTCCCTTACTGGGAGAATATCACGGCACGCTTGGATCCGTGTGGCTGCGTGTGGGAGGTCACTTCTTTTATGCTTAATTCAGCAGGAAATGTGCGCTCGAAAAAACGAATTCCTCATTTAGAGGCTTAAGCCACATCTGCATAGCTAAATGGATCATTTGCTCTCAGGGCGGCAGAACCGAGCCGAATCCAGATCGAAGGCTTTCGGCGGGAAAATAAAAAAACACATACCTGAACACAACTGTCTGAGAATCAAGATGCACAGCAGTCCTCAGTTGTGTATCTTTTTGTGGTCCGTCTTCGGTCGTGTCTCCTTATTGTCACCTCTCTGATGCTTTTATAGATGTTTCTGTTGGGTCCACATTTGGGTTTTTTGTTTGTTTTTTTGTCGCTTCCGCTAAATTCTTCAAAAACTCTGGCGTGTTTATCAAAAAGTGAATGACAACCAGGAGGATGCTCCTGGTTTGTGTTTGACAGCATGCGGAGGCGGTCCTGTTCATTTATTTTTTGTGTTACTCTGTCACAAGTGTCTCTGTGTGTTTGGCTGTTTTGTCAATTTTTGTTGTTATTTTTCATCTTTGTGGTTGGTTTTTACCATTTTCCCTTAATTTAGTGTCTTTCCTGTCTTTGACCTATTTTACACTTCTATATAATTAATTGATTCGTGCCCATTTTACAAATGGATTGATTAATCCAAGTTTACATGTCTGAGAAGTCTCTGATCATCTTTATGACATTCTGTTGTCTTCAATTAATTTATTATTTGAAAATATGAGTCCCATTATGCTGGGTTCCCATTTGATTTAAGCTTTGCTTTTGCTATTTGATTCTAATTCTGGATTTAAAACTCAAAAACCCATCTGTTATATCCTTTACATTTCTGATCCATCAAAAAGAAATGGTTTATTTTTTATTGGACTCTGATAAACTAAGCATCCCTTACACGTGCTGATTTCTGAGGTGTATGTGGAAAAGATGCTGGCCTGATTGGCAGCAGTGAAGATAACATGGCTGAACATGGCTGAACACTTAACAGTAGCGGGGGGGCGATAAGTGGGCGGAAACAATAGGAATGAATTCAGCGTGTTAAAGGGCAGCTGTGTGGTGGCTGCTGAGCAGGTGTCAGCTAAAAACGTCCCCGTCCATTCAAGCAGCCACCAGTTCACCATGTTTTTATTTTCTAACTGACCATCAATTCACTTAGAAGACATAGTAATCAAATATTTGACAGATTTTACATTTTCGATCACTGCTTTTCCGTTAGACCTTGTTTTTTTAATGCCAGCCTAACACCCAACGTCATCTTTAATTCATTCACTCTGTTTCTTTTGTTGTTTTAGTCCTTTATCTCCACACAAAGGCAGGGTGTGTGCCAACATGAAAAGATACAACGCTCAGAAGACATAAATTAGTTTGCAAAAAAAAAAAAACTCTAATACTAACTTAAAAAAGCTCAATGAAAATGTGGGTCATGATTTGATCATAGATTCCAAACATCTTAATGAATATATGTAAAAAGAAAGCTCTGAGTTGAGTATCTGAATGCATTTTGATTGATATTAAGAAATTATTTCAGTGTAAGAGAGATTTTCCCTGCATGGTTATTTCTAACCAGGCCTTTGCTCATTAACAAGTGTTGAGTTGCTTAAATCTGAAATAGACAAAGTGAACAGCTGAACATTCATTTAAATTCTTATTTAGTAGTCAAACATTAAAAAATGCCAAGAATTTGACACAGTTTGAGGTTTTTGTGATGTAAATCCACATTTTCTTCGTGGATGCGCTCCTACATTTAAAACTAGTGATTCAAAGACATCTTGAACACGACATTTTAGCATCCGAGGGGGAATGTTTCTTCAGATATAAACATGGAAAACACACACACACACTCTCCATCCAAGGGAGATGGATAGAAAGGGGAAAAAACCTGCCAACAGATGGTGCACAGAGCAAAAATGGGAAAGAAAAGGTTTACATGGAGGCCCTTAAGTTTGCCTCAGGCTGCTAACACCCAGCCTCCACCCCCATCCCCCTATACTACTCCACCCCTTCACTTTGGTAGTTTGATCTTCATATTTTCATCATCCGTACCTATATTCTCCACCTGTGTCTCCATCTTCATGCCACCTTTCCGTTTCCTCATCCTCGCATCCTTTTTTTTTTTTTTTTTTGCATCTCGGTTGCCTTTTCATCTCTTACTCCACCCCCTTCCTCCCACCACTTCCCTTCCCTTCCCTTCCCCCCCCCCAAGCTGGTGGTGTCCAAACACCAACCCGGAGCGCACTCTCTCGATGTCAGTCACTTTTTTTTTTCCCAGCCAGCAGACGGCAGAGACGGTAATCCCAACCTCCCTCCCCTCCCCCCCCCCCCCTTTTATATATAAAAAAAAAAAAAAGAAAACCCTCACACAACGCCAGCAGGACCGGAACGAAACCTCTCCACCTCCCCTCCTCCCCCCCGCCCCAGGGACACCTGTGCCTGCGCGTCTGGGCTTGGTTTTTGGTTTTGGATAAAGATTCTGTGGATGGCTCCGCGGATGAGAGGGATGCTCGGATCTGGGATGTAGAACGCGGGTACCAGCCACCGGTACCGGCAGCATCCCGGAGCCTGGAGACGGTTTTTCCCGGGGAGGATGACTACGATCTAGCAGGTGCTTTTTTTTTCCAGGGTCCGTGCCGCATTGCCCGGACCGCCGCGAGACGGTGATGCTGTCGTCGTCACTGCGTGACAGAAGCGGAGGAAGAAGAGGAGGAAGAGGAGGAGGAGGAGGAGGAGGAAGAGGAGGAGGAGAGGCTCCGACATGGAGGGAAGCGGCCGTGTTTCGACTCTGAGCTCAGGCCACCGGGATCAGCAGGTTTTACGCGCAGCCTGAAGGGCTGAAGGACTCGATTTGTCACCCCTTTGGCGCCGATGATAAAGTTGATTTTTTATTTTTTTTTGGTTTTTGAACTTGGACTCTCTCCGTGCGTTAAAAAAAGTGAACGTCCCATTATGTTGAGAATGCTCCATAGGAGCGGCGCGGCAGCAGAGTCTGTGTCAGTTCGGGGTGGATTACGTCTACAAAGCAGCAGGCCTCCGTCAGAAGCCGGCTACTGATCAGAGGGAAAAAAACAAAAAAACCGCTTGGGTCACTTCCAGCCCTGTTGCTGCCGGAAGTGGGTGGGTGAGATTTATTCGGTTTGGATTGGAAGCTGGTGAGGTGGGATCCCCCCCCCCGTGGAGGGACAGCTGTTGCAGAAGATGACTCACCTCCAGGCGGGTCTCTCTCCGGAGACCCTGGAGAAGGCCAAGGCGGAGCTGAAAGAGAACCCGGAGACCCTGCACCAGGACATCCAGGAGGTGCGCGACATGATCATCACGCGGCCGGACATCGGCTTCCTCAGGACGGACGACGCCTTCATCCTCAGGTTCCTCCGGGCCCGGAAGTTCAACCACTTCGAGGCGTTCCGGCTGCTGGCCCAGTACTTCGAGTACCGGCAGCAGAACCTGGACATGTTCAAGAACTTGAAGGCCACCGACCCGGGCATCAAGCAGGCCCTGAAGGACGGCTTCCCGGGGGTCCTGTCCAACCTGGACAGATACGGCAGGAAAATACTGGTGCTGTTCGCGGCCAACTGGGACCAGAGCAGGTAACGCCTCCCACTGGCTCTTTTTTACAGACCCTGGTCCGGTCGTGGAGCTGTCCAGTCAGCACCACATAGTCTGGCCATTGGCCGTCTTTAACAAGTTGGGGGAGTCCAGAATAGAGTCCAGAAGTTCAACCTGTGAGCGGTAGCCCATAAACCGGCTCTGAAAGTTCACAGGGAAAGGTCTCGCAGTCGTCATTTTGATTTATTTATGCTGTTCTTTTCTCCCTCAGACCTTTTCTCTTCCCTTTCTGGCTTCATGCATTCGGACAGAGGTCTTGTTGAGGCAGGAAACAGCCGTTTTCATTCTGTTTCCACAAACAAATTCTCCAGCACACGATGGTTTTAGGGCACAGAGGCAGAAAAAAAAACTGTGTGCCACTTAATGTGGGCGCAGTTTAGGCCCTTATGAGAGTTTTTTTAATTAAACTCTTCAACATACCGTTGCACTAATTGGTGCAGATTGTGAGGAGTGCATCCCGAAACGCCCACTGAAGACATTTTGCTTCTTCTCTGGACAGAAGTGTGCCAGAAGTGGGCTCTGTCAGCATATTGTCTGGTGCAGCTGATTCCCAGCCCCCCCGATGGCAGACGTCAGTGTCGTCATGCAAATCCTTCCTGATCCCACCCAGCGGCTGACTTACTGACCACATTTAACCCCCGGTCTGCTGATCAAAAGTCAGCCCTTTGTCATATCTAGATGCTCTCATCGCGATTATTAATCATAGTCAAAGAAAAATCATGCCGTGCAAAATGTCTTAGACTCTAAAAAGTCCTTTTTCTAAGAAGACAGGACAAACGTCAGCGTAAGATCACCTGCTCATTAAGGACATCTTCCATAAAACACCCACTCAAACCTTTATTTCGTTTCTTAGAGAGATCTAAATAAAAAGGAGCAGGCGATTGAACTCCATCTTGAAGAACCCTGTTAGCTAGCACAAAGGGTGACCATGGCCTCCTTTAGCTAATACTTCCATAACTTGAGGCAAGAAAAAGGCGACATTCTGATCATGTATAGAGGGAATCTTTAGCTTATGACTTTACAAATCTTCATTTGTTCTGTGTGTTACTAGTGTATTACTGGTATGGAATTCTTTGGCGCTACCAAAGCTACATTAAAGCTGATCTAGATCCAAAAGAAACATCGTAAATCATCACAAACTTACGGTTCTTTTCCGTTAGAAAAGTTGCCTTTTAAAGTGGAAAGTCCAACCTGTTGGATTTCTAAACAAACACCATATTCATTTGCATATTATCAACATTAATATTGTGAATTAGGAGCTTTCTAAGTCCAGCATCACACAGCTGCTGTCCTCCCATCTCCTGATCCCTCAAAATGAAGCCTTGTTTGCTCACAAGCCGTAATTCCACTCTTTTTGCTGTTTTGCATCCTCAAATCATCCCAAATCCCTGACCACCAGGTTAAGAACCACCGATAATCAAGACATGGAGGGTCAAAATCAATCTCAGCAGAGCACTTGTCTCATTCAAAGCATAAAATGAAAGGTTCGATATCTAGGTCTGCGTATAGAAAGAAATAAGAATAGAAAGAGGATGTTGTCCAACCCTGTTTTATTGGGAGGTAATGATACAATGAATTATTAATTTCATATAATACCAGTTATGTATTTTGGATATGTTTGCTCTGTTTCTTCCCATTTGTCTTCACTGTTCACATCTCCATGTTTGTATTTGAAAAAAATGACAGCACAGACTCTGCAGAAGTCTGCTCAGGATTAGGGTCTTAGCTGAGGTTTTTATTTCAATAAGGGCAGTTCAGTCATAGGGTGACCAGAGCTTACGGACACACTGACCCCTGTGTTCTCTGTGTTGCTGTTTGGAATCATAGAGAAAGCATCTTAATCACCCCCCCGAACAATTACTACCGATGAGAATTAGCTCGTGTTTGCTAGATAGACCCAGACTAAACCCAGACTACCGCCAGGCCAAATGCATCCTCCATGATTCAAGTCAGAGAGGAAGATTTGAAATATTGGAAAACTGGCTCAGATGAGAAGCAAAAATGTGGAACTTGGTTCTCCACCTCATTCCTGATAAACATGTAAAGTTTACTGTAGCTGTTGACTCCTGTTTGTATCAATCCTATAATTATTTCTACTGAAGAAACGGTTTCAGTTGTCATCTCACTTATTCAAATCATTTCAGCTAAATGAAAAGGACAGAACAAGAAAAAGACTTTTCAATGGGTCAGTGATGGAGATAACAGGATGACTCTCAGTTAAGCTTCTAACGGCTAAATATTCTCGTCACTGAAACACTTGAAACATTTTTTCAATCGGTTAGTTGTTAAAAATCACGAAAAGCTGAGATTTTCAATGCCTTAAGCCACCCATTTTGGTGAAGCCAAACCCCAACGAAGGCCTCTTTATAATTTCAAATGGCAGCAAACTTCTTGTTTTTAAGCTATATGCACCAACAGTGACTGAAGGAATCAAATCCGGTAACAAAAGGCTCCAGTAAATCACAAAAGGGACAAACACATGCAGATTTAACTCAATGTCCTAGCTCAAATAACACGGTCTCAGATAATTACCGCACAGATTTTGTTTTGTTTGTTTAGCCTGGCACATTTGATTGTCCTCCACATCCTAACAAATCGCAATTCTCTTCCTTTTTTTTCCCAGATACACATTTGTGGACATTTTAAGGGCGATTTTATTGTCCCTGGAGTCTATGATAGAGGACCCGGAGCTGCAGGTCAACGGCTTCATCCTCATCATCGACTGGAGCAACTTCACCTTCAAACAGGCGTCCAAGCTGACCCCCAGCATGCTGCGGCTGGCCATCGAGGGGCTGCAGGTCAGCGGTTTGTTGCTCATCAGTAACCGGGAATAAAATCTCTCTTTTTTTACCGAATAGAGTCAACATTACTGTGTTTAACACAATCAAATAGACGCTTTTTTCCCCAAAAAATTGACAGAATTTAATGACGCTAGAGCTAAAGATGATCTCATTTTACACTTTAAGTTTATTGTTTTGTATTTCACAATCATCTGAAAGGATCTTTTACTCCCTATTTCAGCTTTTAAACATTTTGCATCAGATTTGTGGCTTATATGAAAGAAAAGCATCTTTTTTAGCGATATTTAAGAAAAAAAACAAATATCTGGCTCGATACCAGCCGGGATGTTGTGCATTCTGATAACAATCCTCCAGCTCCCCGTCCATTATCCTCTCTCCAGTCCAAAACTACCACTTAAAAAGCAGTCGAGCACTGTGCTGAAGCTGGGGGCTTGTGTAAAGAGCGATAGGAAGGAATAATAATATTTCCATTTCGGGAGCACATTTTGATTATGATTTTTTTTCTCCCCTTTCTTTTTCTTTTCACGGCTTATAAAGAAAAAAAAAAGTTCACTCTCCCACTGCCTGAATGCAGCAATCTAAAAAAAAAAAACTGGACTCGTGTTTGCATAATCGGAATTTCTCCGAGCATGGAAACGCGTTATTCCCCCCCGTCTCAGGACCCCTTTAACGTCGTTATAGAAATGAGTTACTGGGGAGAGGAGACGGAGGCAGAGAGCGCAGCTGTCCTCCAATCAGCCAGACCCTTGATTTACATCCAATATTTTCATCCTTAAGGGGAAATGACAGCAAACCGTGTCACAACTGCAGATTTAAAATTTAAAAAATCCCATTTAAAGGATGGAAGTCAGGTGACTTTTCTTCCACCAACTCCAGCTTGGCCCCTCAGGGTTTTGTCACGTATTTACGGGTATATTTGGGTTTCTACTTTTGCCTCAGAGGAGTGGAAATCATCCTCCAGGGGTGTTATATCAGCGGGTACTCTGACCGAGAATAAAAGTTGACTGATACCTCGTCGGAACAGGTAGAGATGCCGTGTTTTGATTGGCTTCCGTGTTGTTTTGAGGATCTATTTCTGTTCTGTGGCCCAGCAGGGGGGGGCTCCTGGTTCGAGTCCCCAATGGGACTTTTCTGTGCGGGGGTTCGCTGCATGTGTTTTCCCATCTATGCGCCAGTTTTCTTTTGGTAAACACAATTTTGAACGCGTATATATGTGAAAAAGATTGCCTTTTACTCTTGATATTTGATATATAAATGTATATTTTTTGTGCTTTTCTGTGAGGCTCGGCTTTGTAAAGCATGATTTCACCTTTTGTTCACTTTACAATAATGAAATTACTCACAGGAGGTTATTTGTGAATCTTTTTCATTTCCATACGTTTGCAATTTTACAATACAATCACGAAAAGTGACGCCTCGTGTCGTAAAACTGTTGCACGTGCCGCCATTAGCAGATGAAGGCTGAACGGTCAGGTCGCTAAATGAATTGTTTCCTTTTATTCGGTTTTTAGCACAGACTATAAACTGTCATCGTCCAATCCGTCTCCCATTGCAGCCAAACACGGACGTAGCCATATGCTACACGCGTGCGTTAGCTCCCCTCGTCTCTTCAATTCAATTCAATTAAATTTTATTTATATAGCGCCACATCACAACAACAGTTGTCTCACAGCGCTTTCCAAACAGAGCAGGTCAGACCCTACTCTGAAGATAATTACAGAAACCCAACAATTCCCACCATGAGCAAGCACTAGGCGACACAGGCAAGGAAAAACTTCCTTTTAACAGGCAGAAACCTCGAGCAGAACCTC